ATAAACGAAAAATATTTCACGCTAGAAAAGAAAACGAAAATTAACTTTTTTCTTTGACCAGAAAAAAAAACAAAATATAATTAAACGAACGTCCTAAAATAACAATCACGTTAAACGATTTTTCCTCACCGATTCGAAAATATTTTTTTCTTTTTCTCCAATTGAAAAAAAAAAAAAGAAAAGTTTCGAAAATCCATTGGACTTTTTTCAATCGTCAATAATACAATTTTTTTAATTATCTAAAAGAAAGAAATATAGGAAGAGAGAGAGAGAGAACAACAGTGTGCAGCATAGGAATCCTAGAAAGAGAGCATTAAAATCGATGACTCATTTAGTACTTTCGGTCGCAAATAGAGAGACGACTCTCTCTAATAATGGGTAAACTTTGTCGTCTAACATTGTAACATAATCTGGGTAGCCGGTGCAGAGCGAGCCACCGGAATTGCAACGCGCCAGAGACTACTAATGCCCCGACCAATTTACTTATCGGAGATTGGGGCTGATCCAAAGTTTCATGCAGTCGAATTTCTCTCTCTCTCTCTCTCTCTCTCTCTCTTTCCTTTCCTTTTCCTATCTCTCTATCTCTCTTTCATTTCTCGTCGACCAACCTTTTCCACGCTCTTGTAGAGCTTCCCGTTTTTACACACATCCTACAAGATTTACTTCGAAGAAAAGAGAAAGATAGATAGTTAGAAGATGAGAAAGAGAAAGAGAGAGACAGAGAGAGATAGACAAACACACACATACACATACACACATTGTAAAAGAGAAAAAAAGAAAGAGAAGAAAGAAACTGTACCTCAGAGACGTTTAAGCAAAAGTTGTGAATTTGAATTTTAAAACAGGTAAAAGTCCCTTCTCCTCCTAGTATTTCCGAGTGATAGTACGCTGGGGTGGAGAGAGAAAGAAGAGAGAAAGAGAGATTGAAAGATAACCGTTTTCTATCTCCTTCTATCCAATCTTTTCTTTTCCACATGGTAGTTCACTCTTCATCATGGTCTCGCTTTCTCTCTCCTTCGTTCGTGGTGTTTCTTCCTTCCTTCCTTCCTTCCTTCCTTCCTTCCTTTTCTTTTTTTTTTTTCCTTCCACCTTGCACCATTCGTCGTAGATATTTTACGAGGTGGGTTCGACTCGCGAAGCGTAAAGTCTGAAAATTTAAGAGAGATTCTCCTCGGCTGGATGCTTTCAAACGACCAGTAGTCCATCGAGACATCCACGTGCAAACCCTTTCGTAGGTCGTGCCTTCTTATCACTCTTCGTCCTTCCGTTGTGATCTGAATAGAAAATAGCTTTAAAAGATCTAAAGTTGTTCGGTGAAAACGATGGTCGAGTGGTAGAAAAAGAAAAAGTTAAGAGATGCAATCGTATTTTTTTTTTCGAGAAAATGTCAGATCGATTGTGAACACTTTTAGGGGACCAGTGTCCTTCTCATATCTGTCGATATAATTCACGACTTTTATATTATTATAATTTGTTATTATTATTATTATTATTATTATTAATATTCTCGTATAAATGTGTGTGATATTTGTTAATTAGATACTTTTATATTCATCAACAGGATGCATTTACACATAGCTCGCAAAATTGTTAGGAATAATTGGAATTTACATGGAAACGAAAAGTGAATTGGTTAATTATTATTTTTCGTCGTTATTCCAATGAAAAAAAAAGAAAAACAAAAAAACAAAAACAAAAAAAAAAAGAACAACAAAGTGTAATTAAAAATTTCTATCAAGATCTTATTCGTCCATTTGCCCGTTCAATTCTCAATTCAATTAATTTTGCAATATACGTTATTGTTTCAAATAAATACGAGAGTTCATGTTTCGCATAAAAAAAAAAAAAAAAAAAAGAAGAAGAAAAAAATGGAAAATAAAAAAGCAAATTAGAAAACATTGAAACGTCAGGAATAGAAAGTTTTTAGGACGTACGTATTATAAAGGAACATTAAATGAGTAGCAAAGCGAATTAAAGTCCAGAACATTTTGCGAAAATGCAACGATAAAATCCTATGGGTGGTGTAGCAAGAAAACTACGAAAAACGTCATCGTCGACTATCGCGGTAAAGTAACAAAGCTTAAGGCTCGAAAAGCTCCAACGATATGGCGGAAAAGTGGTAAGGAAATTTCCACGAATAAAGGAACAAATGGAAAAGGGTTTTCAGAGGACGTCTTAGGAAAGCAAATCGTTCTAGGAGATGAGAGTTTAGGCAAACTGTTTAGGTATATTCACGCAAACGCGATCGTACTATCCATTCGTGATTTCTTTTTTTCTTCCTTTAATTTTATTACACATACACATTATTTCTTATAAATAAATTACAAAATACGTAATATTCATTAAATGAGCCGTTTTATTTAGAAAGTGGCATAAGTCACTTTTTCAAAAAAATCGAAATTAATGGCAACACTAATTACAATCGAACGATATCTTTTCATTTAGAAAAAGATAAAAAAGAAATAAAGTGACTTATGCCACTTTCAAAATAAACGACTGAAATATTTAACGATGAAAATAATTACATTGAGATATATTTTCTTTTACATATTTCTATTTATCATTTTTTTTTTCTTTTTTTTCGTATTAAATTTATATGCCATATTCCATATTTAAAGATCACTATTTATCATTAATAATTAAGAGTTCTTAGTTTTCGAGTGTCAAGTGTGTGAAATGAGATAATATTAAAGATAGTTTGATAAAGCCTCTAGAAAGAAAAAGAAATATAAAGATAGAAAATGAGAGTGTGTGAAAGAGTGAGAGAGAAAGAAAGAGAAAGACGAAAAGAGAAGGTGTAATATATCATAAGCCAGTATGACGTTAATTCCGACATCGATGTAACCGAGTTTCGCTCTCTATATAAACTCTCTGGGGTGGTTGGTCGACGTGTCACTGGCTGGGAGGCAATCTCCAGCGTTAAAACGATACATAATACTACGCGATTGTGCAGAATATCTGCAAGAACGAAGTTTCTTCCTTTTAGCTAACCCTCCTTCATTCCCCGTATGAAAGTTATACGGGGATGCAGACTCTCGCTTCGCCGACTGGCTATACTCTGAAACTTTGCCGTAACGGAAGAGATCCGTCAATGAAGCGAGTGAGGGTAAGAGAGAAAGAGAGAGAGAAAGAGAGAAGATAGAGGATAAAACGAGGATAAAAACATGGACATTTATCACCTGGACTACGAAGCTCCAGGCTACTTGAGTGACATTTTAATCGAATGTACATACACACACTCATATATACACGAATGTTCCTACTAACCGAACCTCTACCTCCCACCTTCCCCACCCATCACTCTATTTCTCGTTTTCTTCTTTTATTATATATATATAAAAAAAAGTGCATTACCAAGTGCAGGGAGTCGCGTGTTACCTATTTTGTGCTAAAAGCAAAACGTTATTCCGGCCATTTCGAGCTCTCGCAAATCATCGTGATAATAAGAAAGAGAGAATGAATGTCTTTATAAAGCCGCAGTGATAGCGTCGTCGGAAAGATATTTTTTTTTTCTTATTAAGAAACTACTACTACTCCTTTTCTTACTATTTAATACAAGTATACAAATACACCAGTAGTCTATCTTTGACAAACGAATGAAAGAGAAAGAGAAAATGTTAGAGAGAGAGAGAGTAATATATCGTACACTCACACGCAAGTATAGACGACGAATAACAAAGCATAAAAGACTCGTTGAAATTATCGCATACCCATTCTTTTTCCTCCTCTTCTTCTTCTTCTGCTTCTTCTTCTTTTGCTTTTATTTTTTACCAAAACATACGTGTATATATAAATGAAAACATATGAAAATGCACGCACCGTCAATTCACAATCCACGTTTCATTGATTACATTCTAATTGTTCATTCGAGCTTTATTTCACTCGAAACTAGTTCCTTCACTTCCCCTTCACCCCCGTTTCTCACTCCTCTCTCTCTTTCATTTTTTTCAATTTTTTTTTCTTGTTTTTACTTTTATCCACCCAACCCCTCGCATTCGTCGTCGTTACTTTCCTTACAGACACTTGCCTGCCCGATCCTTCCTTGAACCAACAACCAGTTTTTTCTTTTTCTTTTGACAGGGGTAGGGGCTGGAGGGGGTTGTTCTGTTTTTCTTTTTTTTTATTTTACTTTTCCACTCGACTAATACTTCTTCGTAGTTCGTCGTTAAACTTTCGTGTTCCGTGCTCTTCTATTCCGAAGAGAAACGAGGTAGAAATACAATTTTCCACTTAAAGCAAAAAAATAAAAAGAGATAGAGAGAGAGAGAGAGAGAGAGAAAGTGTAAAGTAGAAAAAAAAAGAAGGAAGGAAAGAAAGAAAGAATAAACAACTACAAACAACAACAACGAAACGTCAAGAAATTCTTTTTTCTTTTTCGCAATTATATATATAGGAAAACAAATGCTTGCTTCATCGTCTAGCTCGAACTGTTATAATATGTTGTGTAATTCGCGTTACACGTTTTATTCGGAGCTTTTCGTAATGCATATCTCGTCATTCGTCTCTTGTTTCTCGTTTTCTCGTTTTCTCTCTTTCATGGAACACCCTGCGGGACTCTCATGCTAATTTGCGATCGCATTCGCTCGGTAATCGGTTGGATCGTTCACTGACACGCAAAAGCTTTCGAATCGAAAATTTTTCAAATATTTTTCCTACCCTCGAGTCTCGAACGTTTTCGAAACGTGAACAACGCGCAGTGTACATTCCATTCTCCGATGACGTTCAATGAAATGAGATACCAACTATTATGGTTTACCGTCAACGTTTTTTTCCATTTGACAATCTCTCTCTTTCCTTCTCCCCTTCTTTCTCTCTCTCTCTCTCATTCGTTATTTATATTTGTAAATATTATAAAAAATATAAAAAAAAAAAAAGAAAGAATAAAAAGTAATGTAAAAATAACACGAATAGATAAATATAAAATCAAACGATGATCATTTGTGTGTTGACGAAACTAATTGTATTTTTATTTTTGTCTTTTTTCCCCTATACTGTTGCAGGTGTTCATTGTCAGAGTATGTTGCATGGTAGTAGTGGGAAAAACGGTGGCGATAGCAGCTACCAGCAAAACAGTTTAGAAGACTCATCACGTTCCGGCCCGTATTTCGACAAGTCGGCCTCCAAGAACGTGACGGCGCTTCTAGGAAAGACGACGTACCTCAATTGTCGTGTAAAAAACTTGGGCAACAAAACGGTGAGTTTTACAGTCGGCGAGTAGTAACTTAGAACAGGTAGTAATATAGATATGTTCGTAAAAAATACTATATATATATATATGAGTCATCTGTTATTTGAAACTTTTGTAAAGAATATTTTCGTAGTCTGTTTATATTGTTTGAATTATTTTCAGATTTTTTATTCACACGTATATATTACAAGATAACAATAATATAAACGTAGAAGAAGAGGGTTTCTATTGTATCCAATTAGAAATTTGTCAAACATCTCAAACACGTAAAATAATAATTAGAATTGCTCGCGTCAAACGGGTCGTCGTACGGTATTGCGGGGAAAACATCCTCCTGCAATAATTAACCCCTTGAGCAGTAGAAACGTACATTTACGTCATACCTTAACCGGCTTGCTGCAGTAGGAACTTGTACGTATATCTACACATAAATTTGAAATTTTGCGCAGAAGCAGTACTACCATTAATGTATGTTTAATCATACTATTTTGACAGATTACTATTTGCTTAATTCGCTTGCTCCACATATACATATATATATATATATATAATATCACCCCCATAGATTTTAATGTTATTTTCTCAAAATTAGTTTCTTTACCTACGAGTGAATATAATATCTAAAAATCCACATATTGATTATTAACAAAAAGAAACAATTGTTGTCCGAAGAAAGAAAAAAAAACAAAAAAGAAGAAAAAAAAAAGGAGAAAAAAAATACAAAGAAGAAAAGACTCATCCACGTTCCAGTATGTATTTCGACAAGCCGGCCTCAAAGGTACTATGAAAACTCACTACTCAAAGGATTAATATCACATACTCTCTCATTCCTAACCCTTCGTGTACCTTTTTGACTGAAATAAGAACGACGCGAGAGAGGAAAATCCATTCTTTGAAATGACGCAAGCAAAGCACACGGATTACGAAGGGAAGAGAAACGTAGTGCGGGAAGTTACGAAAGAGAAATTATAATCGACGTTGGAGAAAAAAGAAAAAGGATCGGAGAGAAAGGGAGAAAGAGAAAGAGAGAGAAAGGAAAGTGTATAAAAAAAGAAAAAAGCAGGAAAGACAGAAAGAAATAGAAGGAAAAAAAAAGAAAAAGGGGTGGGTGAAGTCGGGGTGACATGTCCATTATGAGAAGCGTATACACGTAAATGTTCATCTTCCTGTATATTTTTTCTCCCTCTTCCTACCTCCCTCCCTCCCCCTCCCCCTCCCTCTCTCTCGTTCTCCTAACTCTACTTTTTTTCTCGTGGCAGCACCGAACGCACTACAAAATATCGAGTGTCAATATTTTAAGCGACACAATGGAGAAAGGGAGAACGAACGGCTGTCTCGAGCGAAACCATAGGGGGTGCATCATCGCGAAAGTGCACTCGGTCTCCTACTAAACCCCTCGACTTTCGATTCCAACCCTTCTGCTACTCGACAGTACCATCGAACGAAGGTACAGGTGCTTTCAATATATAATGTTTGTCCGTTGTGGATCTTGGACAATTATTGCCGCATGTTGCAACACGTTTAAAATAGAGAAAGACTTTATATTCTCTCTCTCTCCCTTGTTTTCATGTTTCGAGTTAAAAAAAAAAGCTAATGAATAAATGATGAAAAAAACGCACGGTACGTGCCGTGCGTAGAATTTTACTGAAATGTTAATATTACAAAAGTGTGTTGTTATACGTATGTACATATTATATAACATTTTTCGTCTGTTTCATCACTATGTTACAAATTCTCTTGTAATATTTTTTATATAGATATGTAAAAGTATATGATATGGTTAATTACAAAATTGTTATTTCATATAAATATAAAAATTCATTGGAATGTTTAATTGATTTTTAAGTTGTTTCATTCGTTTCAATTTTATTAAGTTAAAACTTGTGATAAAGTTGTTTAAAGTTACTTAAATTGAAATAGATAAATAGAAACGACCAAGTATTGCAAAATATTATTGAGGTAGGTACTGTAGTTGCTACACTATCTCGTATCTTGCAGTTATCTCGAATTTGTCTTACTTTAGGCGCATACGACATTTACGACAACAATAAATCTCTTACCTGACACGAGACAAAATACTAGATTTCAGCCGATAAAAAGTGATTTCTCACGACCTATCTCAATGTTAAAGTTAAATCATATTTCATACAAGTGGAAAACACACAAGAATAAAAATAATAATATTGTATACTTATCTCGCTTGTGTGTAGTTAGATTTCTATGATTCTTTTATCTTTTCTTTTTTCTCCTTTTTTTTTCTTTATTAGTTTATTCAATATGAAAAATATAATATCGAGTTGACTGTTCGTTAAATTTAATGACAAATCATATTTCCGTTATATTTTGTTCGATTTGTTAACAAATTGGAAATTTGAATTTTTTTTTTTTTTTTTTCAAAAATTTATAAAAGATTTTCTTTATTATCATCGTTGAGAGAATTCGATCGATAAATATCTTTCGCAAATAATTTTGATTTAGCAATATCGAAATAATATTTCGTCGTCTTTTCTATTAGGATGATATTTCGCGTATCGATTGGATACAAACGTTGAAAGGAGCACGTGGACGGAAACAGAGAAATATAGATGAATGTGTAGATAGAGATAAAAAGGAAGATAAAAAGAAAGAAATAGAAAGAGAATAAGAAGAAGGAAGAAAAGTCGATTCACATGCGGATAACCGAACACTTTACGGTCTTGAGTGCACTTCAAAAAGGAAAATACGCAAAAAGAGTTTCATCTTCGATAAGCTTGTTTTGCTTAACGCATACATAAATCGAAAAAATGGACTCTTTCTTCGACTCTTCCATTTCACTCGAGTGTATCTAATCCGATTTTAGTGTTCAATGATGGAATCAATAGTAAAACTCTTTCAACTAAATCTCTTTAAAAAATCACAACAGATTATTCTACTTTGAATACAAATAATTGGATTTAAAAATATATAGATATATATAATATATACTTTCTTTAATTTTTTATGAAAAATTCATTGAAGTAAAATTGATGAGTCTAAATCGCATGAATTCTCTTCGTATTAAAATTCACTTTGTCGAGTTACAAGTATTTAAAGTGTTTTCATTGATTTCTACAAGTACATGGCAATGACGTGTCTAACAAAAGTAACTTGATGAAATAATATCTTTTTTTAATGATACTTAATTAAATTATTTTATACGAACATGTTAGAAAACCCTATAGAAAAATATTTTTAAATTGTTAAAATCGTAAAAAAAATTATATATGTCACTGAAAATAAAATATTTTTTCAAAAGGTATATAAAAATATATACCAGACTTTTGTTTTGCATTCACAAAATTTGTGTAAAGAAAGTATTTAAAAGAAATTATCCGAGTAATTTTACAATTCATTAACAATATTGTATTAAAAATTCTAAACAGATATGTTTGCTTTTAAAAAAAAAAAATAAACAATAGTAAGAGGAAAAAAGGGTTCGAAAATAAAGATGATCGAAATTTAGTTACAGTAAATTTGTAGGAAAAGATCTATTAATAAAAATTCATTAAGGTTTAGAGATTATATTCTCCTAATACTTCGAATGAAAGCACCAAATACAGAATTAAAAGCTGTATTGGGATACTCGTTGCCTCGAAGGTTGAACGACGTGACAGGCATGAAAATCGAAAGAATAAACCTTGCTAGTAGAAAAAGGATCCTTCGTTTCCAGACTGCGGATGAAACTTTTCGTCAATAATTACAAGTAGAGCGTGGCCATTAAAGGAGGTGAAATCGTTCGAAGCTCTTCTTCCGTGTTCGGATTGAATTCATGGCACGTGTATGGTTACGTGAAAAATTGAGATGTGAGTAACTCTCTCTCGTCGATGCAAACAATAGAAACAAAAGAAAAAAAAAAGAAGACAAAATAATCTATTGGTTTTAACAGTTTAACGATTTTCTTTTATTAAATTATTTTAACGTGTACGTTTATGCGAAAAAGAAATTCTCTTTTAATCGTTACATTATATATGATTATAATGAATGTAAAATTAACAAAAATAATGTGAATTTATATATCACACACGAAAACGAAAGAATAATATTATCAATTGGACGATTTTTTTCTTTATAATATATATATATATTATTTTTGCAATTTGAAATTGTTCGAATCGATGCTCTTATATCAATTTTTTCCGAACGAGAACAATCATGAATCGAATAATACAAAAGATAGTACGGACGAACAAAAGAATTAGATACCTGGATGAAATTTGCGATCGGAGTTTGAAAACGAATTCAAAGTACTCGTATTCGATTGTACGAAAGGGAAAAAAAAGAAAAAAAAAAAAAAAGAAAGAAAGAGATCCAAGTGTCGGGCACTCTCGTTTACATCTCTCGCACACATATATGCACCCACTCACACCTGTATATCTTTATATTATGTACAAGAACAGGAATACCCACACTTTTTCTTTCTCACTCTACTGTTCTGGAATCCATGGAACGACGTTAGGGTTGTTGTTACATAAGAAGACGACGGAATCCTTTGTAGCACTGTGGAAGCCTATAATGAGCACGTAAAGGACGGTTTCTCGGAGCTTCGTTTTACTTGTGAAATTTCAGACGATACAACTTTCTTTAATTCCAAGAGCAACTTGAGCCTAATACTTTTAGTATATTATATAGAAAAAAGTAATACGAATATATAGTATATGGAAATGTTTATATATATATATATATGTGCACACACAAACAGAGATCAAGATTCTCGTTGAAATAACGATGAACTCGTGACGTCACTTAATGGTCACCTACGTGACCAACACAGGTGATGGTGAGCGAGCTTGTAAAGTCTTTCGAGAGTTTTTATATCTCTTTCTCTCTCGTTCATCTTTTTCTCGATTTTCCAACGACACTTTTTCTTTCTTTCTTTTTTCTTTTTTTTTTCCTTTCTTTCTCTCGTACACCGTTTTGCGTGGCTCCAGTACGGCATCGGTGCCGACGATAAAATACGTTAGCTGCTTCTCTTTATTTGTTATCCAGGC